CATATTGGTAGGAAGCCTATTAAAGAAATGATCTATCAAAAGGTAATATCAAAAAATTACTTTTTTCGAAATAGACTTTTTACAAGGTGTGTGTTATTTGACATGTTTGACTTTGATGTAAAGGGAGGGAAATATGGCAATCCACCAGATTTGGCTACTATTTTCTTTGAGACTCGTAAGAAAGATAACAAGCTTGTTGAACCTGAAGCAATTGAAAAACATGTGCATTTGGTAAATATAATATATTATTTACTTGATATTGATATGTTATGATAGAAAATGTTCTTTGATATATTTTGTAGACTCAACTCGAAGAAATGGTTCAACCAGATCCATCTCTACCTATTATAGAGATTGTTGAAAAATGTTGTGGACCTCAAACTCGTTGCTATATATTTGGATTAGGGGGTGGAGTAAATGCAAAAGACTTGAAAGGTGGAACTTCTTCAAAGGCTGAATTATTGTCTGCGCTACGTTCAACTCGAGAGGATATCAAATCCTTGAATGAAGAAAACAAATCCTTGAATAAGGAAAATAAATCTTTAAATGATCGTTTGTCTACCATAGAAGATGAGATGAAAAACATAACAAAAATGAAAGAATTATTCTTTACTCAGCAATCACATGTCCCACCTACAACATCATCTGTTTCAATTGAATGACCACTGTCTTTTTTAGCTGACAAAGTTAGTAACAATATACCTAACTTTTTAATTTATTTTCTTTAGAGTTTGTGACTGTATATATGGGATCTGTTTTTGAATATCTGCACAATTTTCATTAATTGTGATGGCCTCTATTTTTCATTTTTTGCATAACGACACAAACTTTGTTTTAAAATTTGCTACACTGCTGCCAGCTTCTCTGTTTTACCATGTTCTGTCTAATTGTTGTTCATCCTGATCATCTCTTAAGATATCATTTCTACATTGCTGCAATGTAACAATGTTTTCACGTAACATTGCTGCCAGCTTCTTTGTTTTACCATTTTCTACATAACGACATAAACCTAATTTTTAAATTTTCTACATTGTTGTCAGCTTCTCTATTTTACCATGTTCTATCCTATTATTATTCATCATGCTCGTCTCTTAAGATATCTTTTCTACACTGTTGCAACGTAACAGTGCTGCCATGTAACATTGCTGCCAGCTTTTCTGTTTTACCATTTTTTTCATATGGCACAAACCTTATTTTTAAATTTTCTGCACTGCTGCAATACTGTTGCCAGCTTTTATGTTTTACCTTATTAGGATCCTTGACTCTAACCTTCTTTGGCAGCTCCCTAGCAATATCCATCTCAATAAGGACACGCACAAATGATATTCTGTCCATCTTAATTGTAGATTCATCAGCATATAGTGGTACCCCCAATCCACTCCCAATTCGACTAAGTGAATCCATGCTCCAACTATTAAATCTAGCTACGAAGTAGCCATCATTATGATAGTAAACTACGTTCATTGGCAATGTTGACATACAATGCAATATACCTTTCAACTGGTTCTATGGTTGGTGAGTCCCCAGCCACATAAGAGTATTAAGGCATATTTTCATTCATATTTAATTTTCTCCACTTCTTCCTTGTTTAGCTCTACCACCTTTTCACCATTCATCACGATTGGAGCAACATAACTTAAGTTCATACCCACACAAATGTGCAGTAGGGGTTTTCCTATGCCTTACAGGCAACTTCTGCAAGTCCCATATATACAAGGTCTATTCAAAATTAGTAGCCACTTTCTGAATTTCAGCTAGAGTCACATTTTCGTAAATGCTCAAAACAATCAAATTTAATACTACCAAACATATATTTGAAAGCACGTTCCAAACAGCTTAGACAGAACTTTGAATAAAAAAATGAGAAAATTAATGATCATCTTAGTTTTTTCCCCTTCAGCTCTTATTTACATGCTTCTAACATAGAGTATAATATACGTAAATCCTTAAATGGCACTCCTGCTTCGTATCCACTTTTACTGTTACTAATGATTAGAAGTACAAATTATTTTCTCAATTTTTTCACGCTGCCTCTTGTGATTTGAAACATACCATGACATTTCTATGAATATAGGAGTACGTCATTTGAAATTTCTTGCTTCTAATTAGACATTTCACGAATAACAGTACCAACTCAATATAGTCGTACATAAGCAAGAGGCAAAATAGTTAAAAATTAAATAGCAAATAAGAATTAAGCTCATTTACATTATAGACCGACTCTATTATATATATATATAGATTTAGGTTTCTCACCTTCCTTAGGCAGATCTAGTTTCCTCTATGCATTTGGGCTTGTAGTATTGGTAGGTATCGCTTCAATATTAGGAACTGGTGTTTTCTCACTTATCTCTATTTCATTGCTCTTCGGAGTGACACTCCTTGCCATTTCAGGTAGTGAAGACCACTATTACAGTGGCTGGCTTTCCCTTAATCCAAAATGTTATTTTTTTTTCATATTCTTTCCTTGCTGTTGAAAATCCAACAATGACTTCTCGATGCTGGCTATCCTCGTCCTCCATCTCGCCATTTTGTCCATCGTGCGTAAATAACAATTCACGTTATCGTGCGCCTAGAAAGGCTTATTGGTACTTAACGTAAAATTTCCTACACAGCTGCAACATAACATTGCTACCAGCTTCTCTGTTTTACAATTTTCTGCCAAGTTGTTGTTCATCCAGTTCGTCTCTTAAGCTATCTTTCCTATCCATTCATTTCTATTTTTTTACTAAACGTTATTTAGGTGTGGTTATCCAAAATAGATGTTGGATTCTTGATTGATGTATCTGAAAATTTTTCTAATAGAGTTTTTTCTTATTTCTTGCAGGTTTTGTAGATGTTTCTGGATATCACAGTGAAGATAGCTTAGAAGGATCACCAACTCATTCTTACTTTGCTATGAATGTCATGCAAAACTTTGGATGTTATCTAAGTTTTTTTGTTTATTAATTAAGAAAATATTGAAACTTACATCATGTGATGCTTACAAATTTATTGTAATCAATTGCACTCTTTATTCTTATCGCCCTGCAACCCTTTCTATATCATCTTTTGTGTCAAGATTTTTAGTTGTAATTAATTTGATATTTGTTAGATTCTCGTGATATCAATGGTCATAGGATCAATGGTGATTAGTTAGAGACCATAATTATTGACCGTCTCTAAAGGTCAATCTAGGACTAGAAATGATGCTCGTCTTTAAAGCTATTTTAGCACCAGGTTGTTGTTCGTCCCTAAAACTACTCTAGGACCAGTTTGTTATGGTCGCTAGAGCTATTCTAGGAGCAGATTATTAATGGTCTCTAACGCTTTTCTAGGACCAGGCCACACTCGTCTCTAAAGAGTTACTAGGACTAGGTTGTGGAAGGTCGCAAAAGAGGTTTAATGACCTGAATACCAAGATATCTATGGATCATTTGAGACTAGATATGCAGTCTCTAAAAGTGTTTCACGACCAAAGTTTTTTCTCGTCCCAAAATCATTCAGGGACCAGTTTTTTGAACTTATCCTTATTGACCAGTAGCAACGGTACTTTCTAGGACGAGTGACGACCATGTTTTTCTGGTCTCGATTGCTCGTTTGGGACCAGATTTCAACTTTTAGGGACTAGATTTTCCTTCCTTAGAGGCTGATTTTCTTGTAGTGTAGTCCATTATTCGGACTCAATCGTTCTAGACTTATGCTTACCTCTTGTAGTGTAGTCCATTATTTGAACTCAATCGTTCTAGACTTATGCTTACTTTCTTTTATTTTGGAGCATCCCTATCCAAGAATTTTAAATGTTTTGGTACTTTGACCTTCAGATTCTAGGGAGTTTATTTCACATTTGTTTCAATTGCCTGATTGAGTTTATGGGAATTCAAACATTTAATTGTTTTAAGACGTTTTCGTAGTGTTTTTTTTTATTGTCATTGCTTGGTTCTAAAATGATTTAATGGGTTAGCTGAGGTCAGTAGTTAGTTCTCCCGTCGTATAATTAGTGTGGGTGTCAGTCACAACGGATCAAGGTCGTGATATCGAGAGTCCTATTATCCTTCTAAATTTATTTATTTTAAAAAAAAATTGTTTACAATAATTTTGAGAAGGTCCTATTATCCTATAAATCTAATTTTTACGTATTGATTAAACCTATGAAATATTTTGGTCTAATTTTATTGTTGCCTAAGTGTAACTTTTTATTCAATTATTGCAATTGTTCTAATGTAGTTTTTGTCATTTTTTAAAATTTAATTTTGGCAATTATTTTGATGTAGTTTTTATGCGATTTTGATCCAGTGAATTGATAAGGGCGATAATTTGTAAATTTTATATATCAAAAAAATAAAATAAAAAGTTGCGAGAAATCTTAATTTTTACAAGAATGATAGATTCATAAATGAAGAAAACAATTTTATAGTTTAACTATGCAATAACATCATTTTAATAGATATGACAAGCTAAACAAAAAATATTGTGCACTGTTGATCGATCATTTGTTTTATAATTTCAAATTTTTTGCATTAAAAATTATTTAAATAAAATCTAGAAGGTCAAAAAAATAGTCAATTTTGTCATTAAATGATAAAATCCAGAAAGTAAATATTTAAAAAATGTGAATCATTTAGAATCTAATAGAAACTGCCAGGGTAATTAATTACAAAATCAATAATTAAATTCTGTCAATTTCATTATAACTACATATATTGAAAGCTTAAATTAGCAATTGTTGATCTAGAAAGATCATTTGCTTTATAATTTCAATTTTTTTGCATTAAAAGTTATTTAAATAAAATCCAGAGGTAAAAAAAATAGTCAATTTTGTCATTAAATGATAAAATCCAGAAAGTAAATATTTAAAAAATGTGAATCATTTAGAATTTAATATAAACTGCCAGGGTAATTAATTACAAAATCAATAATTAAATTGTGTTAATTTCATTATAACTATATATATTGAAAGCTTAAATTAGCAATTTAACATTCACTAAAATTAAAAAGAATTTGCAGAAAAAATAGTGAGAATGAGCAATTTTGGAGCTAACCCAAATGATGAGCTTTCCTTCTACAAGATTGTTTTGGATCCTCAGATGGAAGAACTGGTAATGTTGCATTCTTAATTCTAGAATTACTATTAATTTATTTATTTTTGCTTTTACATCTATTTTAATAAATTTAAATTGTCTGAAAATACTTTTATTTATTTATTTTAGATTCAAATCGACAACATGCTTTTTCATGTTTGTTTGATTTTACTCATGTATATACATATATGAACATCTCTGTTGACTGATGGTAACTTCACTCTATTAAAATCGTTAAATTTAACTCTATTTAGTATTCGTTTTCGATCTACAAAAATTTATTGAAAGTGAGTGATTTCAATTAACTTTTTTAGATCTACGAATTTTATTTATTAAATTTCAATCGTTTGTGGAGATAAATTTATTTATTTATTTTTAGATCTAGACAACGTGTTCACTTTCATGTTTTTTTTTATATTATTCATGAATTACACAAGTGTAGCTATATGTGTTGACGGTTGATAACTTGACTTTACTTAAATCGTTAAGAGTTAATTATTAATATTAATTTTGATCTATAAATTCTATCGAGAGAGAACATTTTGACTTATTTCTTTTAGATCTATAACTTTTTTATACATTTAAATGTTAAAGAATATGTTTTCGTTCTCTCTTCTAGGCTAGGGATTTTTAAATCTTAACCCTAAAAAATAAATGACTCACACCTTAAAGTATAGAAATTATATCAAATGATCATTCAAATTTTTATTCAACCTTATAGAATTAAGAATTAAGATTGCTCCTCTTAATTAGAAAAAAGAATGAATTGGTCTTTATTTTTGTTCACTCAAGGAATATAAATGAGAAAGACGTCGAAAAATTATTCTTTGTCTAGAAATATACAAATTTTAATGTCCAATATTTCATAATTAATTCACAAATTACATATGTATAGATATTTGTGATAGGTGATAACAAGACTCAGTTTAAATTGTTAAGAGTTAATTTTTATTAATATTAATTTAAATTTATAAATCTTATCAAGGGTAACCACTTTCATTATTACTTATACACGCATACCCTGTGTTCCTCATATCTTGCTTGATCTTACTCATTGATTACACATAAGAGTCACCTCTTTTTATTGTTAATTTTAAATCTATAAGTCTTATCATATAGTACTATTTAGAGGCAAACATTTCTTTATAAATCGAACTTTTATTTATTTATTTATTTTTATATCGATAACTTGTTTACAAATATAAATTGTCAATGAGTAAACATTTTCATTTATTTACACATAGCCTCCAAAAAACATGCTACTCACATGCTTATTTGATCTTATTCATTTATTACATGTGTAAAAATTAATGTGCACAATTGAAGGTGAAACTTGAACTCTTAACTCAAATTAATAAGATTTTCATGAATACTTGTTTTTAAAATATTTAAATCTATGTAGTGCTCTACACTACATTCTATAAGCATGCGACAATTATATTATGTTGATATGATAAAATAGCGATGAAACTCATTTTTTTCTTATTGTAGAGAATTCCATCGAGTCTTGTGAAGCGTATAAAGGAAGAAGCAATGGGAGAAGTGTTGCTAAAAGGTCGTGGTGGTGACAAGTGTTGGAACATAAAAATACGAGAGGATGGAAATGCGATGTTCTTCAATTGTGGTTGGAAGGAATTTGTGTTGGAGAATCATGTTGAAATGGCTGAACTGTTATTTTTCAATTACGATGGAATGAAAACGTTTACTGTACGCATTTTCAACAAGATCGGATGCGAGAAATGATTCATATTGTTCGAGTTCGAGTCAAAACACATTTTTATCTAGAATATGTGTTAAAGATTGTTTTTTTATCAAAATTATGTAAGAGTGGTAGTACTCATTCGAACATATATTTTCGTATTATTTTACATTCTAAGCTATTTGAAGGTTTTATTATCTTCGTTAAACTTAATGTAGTTTAATTTGTTTTCACTTTTACTCATGTGTTGGTGCAATTTTCAGTATAGTCTCTTTTTCTTTTTCTTTTTGTTTGTGATAAATTATTGACCGTGATTTTGCTATTGTTTTGCTGGAGTTTTTCTACAATTTTGACTCAATTTATAATTTAAATCCTAACTCATTCTTGATAGATTCGACCAACAAAAAATTAAGAGGCAAACATCATTTTTTCACTATTCAATTCAGCAAAGAAGTGGCTAGGATTTTTTTAAAGAATATAATTTCACTTGAAGAGACTTTTAATATTAGTGGGTCAGATCTAGCAAGAATGAGTTAGGATTTGAATGATCAACTGAGTTAAAATTTAGTGAATATTCTAGTTGATAAGTTTAGATAGCGAAATTAGTCTCATGTGGCTTGTCATATCATTACTATTAATTCTTAAGGATATTTGTATGATCTCTTAAATTAACGCGCTCCAATTTTTTGATATTATTTTTATTTTACTTTGAAAACACAAACTATTTTCCTTGTAGCATCAGTCGCCAATCACGGTCACGGATGGCATCACAGTTTACAAGATTAACATTCTCTTTCTATTTTGGTCAGACGCAGCAGGACTTTGATGCCCAAAAAGTATTAACTATATTTTATATAGTAGTAAAATATAGAAAGGAGGGGATATCTAAGTGGCGATTTCATTTTTTTATTTTTTTATTAAAAGGATTCGGAAAAATAAAAATATAATGTCGTAGATTTTAACTTAAAACTTCAAAGAAAATTTTGAACTTTGGTCTATCGAACCAACCTCTAGTCATATATTTAGGAAATTAAAATTTATATACATAAATAAATAAAAATACATTTAATATTTATTTATTTTTTATCAGAAGATTCGGATAAACCCCTCGCGATTTCGCCACGGGCATGATGACTAATTAAAAATGCAGTGAAGGAAGTGGTGGTACCTTCCCAAGAACACCAACTCCAACTTGTGAAATAAAAAAATAAAAAACAGACTAGTGAGGATGTAGAAATACTGTAGTCCATAACCCTGCTACTATCCTATACCATTATCTAATATTACAATAATATCAAACAAAAAAAAAAAGATTTGTCCAGATTAGATCTGCGTACATATTCGACGCAATATCAGATAAAAGAAGCATATCAACTAAATGGAACTGCTACAATAATGATCGTATTTATTGCTAGCGTTTAATAGCGTTTTCAATGTATGTGTAATTAATACATGTATTTATAGTATATTTTATTCAATATTATTGGGTGTGTAACTAATACATAACAATTTCATAGTATATTATAATAATAAAGTTTATAAATATATGAAATAAGTCTGATTAAAGACAACTATTCTTGAATATACCAATTCAAACTATGGATAAAAGAAATCACAAACATTATTTAAATTTATTACTATTATTCTTATACATCCTATCAAACACTCTCGGTATTAACAAGTTCACTACCTATAATATCATTCAAATTGTTATCAATTTACAATACTTTACTTTTTTTTCCATAGAAAAGAAATATTTGAAAATAGTAGTGACAATGGGGTGGGGGTGGTAGCAATTGGCTGAGTGAAGCAATGGAACAATAATTGTATGTAGGAATAATTAGGCATGGGACCTTATATTGCTCTCTTCTGACCCCTACCCATTTTACATGTAATAATTAATCAACTCTTTTAAGCAAAGTTAACTAATATTGTTATATTCCTCCCTTCTCTTTAACGCAAGTTTGTTACAATTTACAAATGTTTGATAACTCATCAAAGAGAGAGAAAACTTAATACAAATTTGAGATGGAAGCATGTTTAACTTTATACGTGTTTTGACCAAAAAATAAATACTAGAGTACTATTTTCATGAATTAGTTACTTGAATCTCTTATTTATTCAGGAAGACATTCAAGATTTAAATTTAACGATTTTAATATTTACTTAATTTCTTATTTATATTCACCAAGACATTCAAGAGTTACGGGGTAATTTCTTTTTGACAGCCACTCATGTGTTTACTTTCCCGTGACGACTTCAGAAATTAATCGTCTATCTATAGAACTAGAAAATTGTTGGAGTACTTGTAAAATTAAATCTCATAATCATGATTTCTTAGCTGTTAAAATCTTTTCTTTTTTAATAATTAAGTTGTTGAAAATTTTGAAGGAAACTAAGGCATAATTGCGTACATATATACATATGACTTTCCATACATTTATGGTTTATCAAAAGTATAAATAAATTTAAAAAGAAATATATATATATATTTAACGAAATTTAATCCCAACCTTCAATTAAGAGAAAATTTTAATTAATTTTATCTCGATTTATGAAGTGATTAAGTAATTTTTTTAATTAACTTCCTCACCAACATGCATTAATATTTTTCATACTTGTTTAGGCCTTTAGGGTGAATTTATAAAAATTTAATTTTATGAATTCAATAAATTTTATATATTTAAAGTTATAATTCATATCTATTATTTTTATACAATTATATTAATTTATGTTGTGCGTCATAAATATTGAACTGAAATTAATCGAGTATGCTGAGTATGATCCTCGATATGCTAACTTATCCAGATCTTTATTTTATGTATTCTTGCTTCTCCTAGTGGCTCTGCATTTATTACATTAATTCACCCCCTCAATAGTACATGAAGTACTTCAATTTATGACATGGTGATTTCTTTTTAATCCATCCCCTCCTAGTGGATGGCCTCACCCTACCATTTTTTTAGCTAGCGTTTGAGCTCAAGTTATTAAATATTTTTACAAATTATATTTGAGTGATATTTTACGTGTTTGATTGACCTCAATTTTTTCCAAAAATATTTAATTATTTCAAAAATATGATTTATACTCGTAAGTTTTAAAAATTATTAAAATTACCCATAAATTTATATTATCATTTTATAATGAATATGTTTCGTTAAAAATAATATTATAATATAATTGATAACAATCAACAATAACAATATAGGCAAGACAATACATTAAGGGATCGTTTGGTAGAGTGTATTAGGAAAAATAACGCATGCATTAGCATTGTGTATTACTGGTACCTTGTTTGGTACTCTTTTCCAACCTATGTATAACTAATGCTTGCATTAGTTATACACTCTATTGTGCATTAAGGTGTGTATTGCTAATACCATGGATTTCTAGGATTAAGCAATGCAATGGTTTTAATGCATGCATTAGATTAACTAATGACAAAACTACCCTCTAATAATAATAATTATTATAATAATAATAATAATAATAATAATATAATAATAATAATAATTATTATTATTATTATTATTATAATTATTATTATTTTTGTAAAAGAATGTGGGGGTATTTTTGTAAACAAATATTTTTTTAATAGTTTTTATACAAGGCTTGCTATTTCCAATACATCAAACCAAACAATGTATAAGAAATAATGCAAGCATAACTAATGCAAGCATTACTAATGCTTGCATTACTAATACATCATATTCAGCATTATTCTTATACACTCTACCAAACGACCCCTAATTGCATACTCAAACTTGTTACTGATTCAATTATAATTATAACCCATTAAACACAAATTGTTCTTTTTTTATCAATTTTATCACTCAAATTAGAATTCAAACTTTTCCGGAGGAGGTACGTAGTAACAAATATTAGTTGAAATTAATAAATAATGGGTATTTTTTATATATAAAATATAAAAAGTTTGGGGTAATTTTGATTTTTTTTTAAAATTCTCAAATAGTAATTTTATGACCAAATACCACTTCTCAAATTTTTTACAAATTTTTCTCAAGTATTTTTGAGACCAAACGGGTCCTTAATTTGCTCATGTTTATTACTCTTTTCATTATAATTCATGCTACATAAATTGAATTTTAAAAGATAAACTAAAAAAATTATCAAAAGTTTTTATATGTCTTTTATAAATTGTTGATTATTGATCAAAGTTTTAAAATTCTAATTGTCACAAATTGTGACGAAGGAAGTACTATATACATACTATTTGCACATCTCGTCAATCCATGATGTTTAATTCAACAATTATATTTCCTGCATTACCACTTGGCCCTAGCCCCGCAACTGCAGCTTTAAATGTTTTGAAAAAACTGTTTGAACCCACCTCAAAAATTAACCATATAGCCTTGTGTCTATTCCCCCTCTCAACGAGAGTTCAGTGTAGAAGCCATGATTTTCAATAAAGCGACTTGAAGAATGAAGAAGTGAACACACACAAAAGTTAAAATTGGTTCAATATCTACTACATATATATAAAAGATAATTATAATTATATATAAGCAGTATAATTTTTCGCCAAAGGAGGTTCGAATAAACCCCTAGGCCCTTACTAGCTCTGTTTCTGTACACAACTTAAACTCGCACCTATCCCGCACCTTTAATTTACCATTTTTAGTGCAGCATTGCTGATGATAATGGTAAGATAAGTAGTTATGTAATAATAGCTAGGTGGTGGATGATGGAAGATGTTTAGTCACTTTAGTGATAGAGGGTGGTGGTAGTTGAACAAGTAAATTGAGATTCTAATTATGATCTAGATTGGAGAAAATAATAAAAAGGACTTTATTATATGTGTTAGTTATTAAAATTGGAAAGTATTCTGCGAGGCTATGTATAAAAAGTGATTTGGTTAAATAATAGAGTACTAGTCCACATCCCTTGTTCAACAGCTCTTGCAAGTTGCAACCTCCAACTTGCAATGTTGAAAAAAGAAATATAAAAAACCTTATCCTATGTATAAGATTCTTATAAACAGTGAAACAAAGCATTATGGGTATGATCTGATGGGTCATATGAA